GATCAAATATCCAGATTTTCATTGATTCATGTGGTGGGAGTGAGGGAAAGAAATTATCGTTAAACATGGTCAACGGAAAATGTTTTGATCCCTCAATTTTGCTGAAGATTTCAAAAATGTCATTATCCTTGTCAATTTTATGAGTTTCCCTCAAAATTTTTAGAATTGTTGGGGGTACCTCAAAGGATGACAAGGATAGATATTTGACCTTGAAACTTGGTTCATCCTCTTCTTTGACTAGCTGGAGCTCTGCATCCCTTTCTTCTTCTACTTCTTCTGGATTTTGGATCTCCTTTTGTATTTCCTTCTCATTTGTCAATGTGATTGCAAAAGTTTGCTGTTTAGGATCACACTCTATTTGAGAGGGAAGTTTTTCCGAATCCCTTGCTTCAATCCTACTTATGGCTCCGGCTATTTGAATCACTTGAGTTTCCAAGTTTGAAATGCTAGACTTGGTCTCATTTTGGAATTGCACCATGTTGTTTTGCATGGTGGTCATGTTGGTAGCAATAGCCCGGACCATATCCTCCGTAGACATATTGGAGTTGGAGAATGGATCATACCTCATGTCAGGTACATCCCTTTTGTGACCAACGTCATCAATTTGTTCAAGGTATTCATCTTGGAGGTTTGGGCAGAAATCCGTTAGATGCCTGTGAGACATGCGAATGTTGCATGTCTTGGCATCTTGAGCTTAAGATAAATTCATTTATTAGAGAAGTCAAGAAGGAAATTTGACTCTCTAATGATGAAATGTTGGTTTCCATACACTCATAACTCATGTAAGCTCAGAAAATAGAAGAGTATTTTTTTTTTGTTTTTGTTTTTCGTTTTTGATTTTTATGAGATAAAATAAAAAGAAAAATAATTGCCTCTCCCCGGCAACGGCGCCAAATTTGATGTGCACTTTGTCGTGCGTGCACTCAAAATAAATCGATACTAACACTTATACGTAGTATAGGTGAAGTAGAGTTCGTATCCACAGGGAAAGGAATAACTTTCTTTTTATATAAATAGTAAATAAAGGGGGGTTTTGATTGTTGAGTGATTTAATTAAATTAAACACGAAGATGAACGAGTTATATGGGATTAAATTCAAGAATAAAAGGGACTTGGCATTGCTACTTTCCACTTGTTGATATATTTTAGTCGATCATTGTTATATCTATAACTTATCTCCTCTCGAATACTCAATCGAGGAGTATATCCAATTCATCGAGGATAGTTATTAACAACGACCGTTCATTAATAACCCTTACTATTAGTCAAGTATAGAACAACGCATATACCGACTTGATAGTAGCATTTAATCTTTTAACTCCTTGATGAAATCAATTGAGATTGATAACCTTAACACAACGGTTTCGGTTTAACCAACAAAATTAATCCCTCTTAAGTTTATTAACCACGACCGTGCATTAATAAACCGAAGTTACTTACTTGTGAAACTATCAACGATTAACCATCGGTTCGTTGATCATTTCTAGTAATAATTAATATATGAAACAAAACTAGTTGATCCTTTAAGTAATGTTCAAAATATTAATATGAAATATGAGTAGGAATTAATTAATACTCAAGGAAGAATATTAAAGGGAATGAATCCTACTATAGTTAAATATCAAGATGTTAACTAATTGTCATCTTAGTAACACTCCCCAATATTAACATAGAGGAAGGAATAGCTATTACTAAGACCAATGTCAAGATGTTAACTAATTGTCATCTTAGTAACACTCCCCAACATTGATATAGAAATAGTATTTAAAGGAAGAATTAATATTCAAGGAAAAAAGTTAAGAAAATAACTCACAACTTTAATAATCAACAAGCTTCAAGAGCAATACTAAGAAATGGAAGTTTAGCTCCTCATTTGGAGACTAAACATGTTAAAAGAAATATAGAGAAATGCTATTCTAAACTGAGCTCAAGAGTATAAAGGAATTGGTCTCTTTTAAAAGTGAAGGAAAGGAGGTGTATTTATAGACTTTTTTGAGGTGCAGGTCGGGTACTCGATCGAGTATATACATATACTCGATCGAGTATGTGTAGAAACTCGAATTCGATCCATACTCGATCGATATTCGAGTAGAATTCATAGCTATACCCGATCGAGTATGTCGGTGTACCCGATCGGGTATAGACACTCGATCGTGGTGAAATCTTCCCTGCATGTTCCTTTGTTTTCGGATCCGATCCGATTTGAAATTTCAACAAGATACCCGATCGAGTATAGGTAATACTCGACCGAGTATAGACCAAAATCAGGATCTTCCCTTTTTGTCTTGTGATTTTGCACCTTCCTTCCACTTTTGGGGTTCACCAACCGTCCTTTGAGTGATGGTAGACCCGTTTGAGCTCAGAATAAACCTAATCTAAACAATTTACAAGAATTTAACAAACTAAACCATTACACCAAAAGTGTGTAATTTCCAAAACATTAAACAACCAAAACTAACTAAAAACGTAAACATACACACGGAAATTACACGCGTATCATGTTTATAGTAGATGAAGTTTCCTAATACATAGTACTACGTACAAGATAGTTATTTATAGAATGCTTTCTATACAAGAGAGTCCCTAATAGAAAGTTCCTAATTAAGTATAGTAAATGTACACTATGAGCACATGCTCTTTCTTGCCATTTGTGTTCCTGATGGTTGGCCTTTAGGTTCTTCTATAACACTTTTCTAGTTTGATAGCTTAGTTTAATTTGTTTTTGGGAGGTCGCTTTGTTCTTGGACGGACGTAGGTGTCACCTTTTTGAACGGAGACTTAGAGGAAGAAGTGTATATGGATCAACCAGAAGGATTTTTTACCACTGGTAAGGAAAATCTTGTATGTAAGTTACAAAAGTCATATAGTACAAAAATCTTGTATGATAGCTCAGTCTTACAAAAATCTGGTAAGAAGTGTATTATGGACGAAAACAAGCTTCCCGACAATGGTATCTTAAGTTTCGTAATACCATTTGTTCTTATGTTTTATAGAGAACGCCGTTGACCGATGCATCTATATGAAGGTTAGTGGGAGCAAGTTTGTAATTTTAGTCATATATGTTGATAATATCTTGCTTGCTGCGAATGATATGTCCATGCTCTCCAAGTGTGATTCCAATTCAGAAGGGGGGCAAGTTCAGTTTATTACAATGTCCTAAAAATGAATTGGAACGTAAGGAGATGGAAAGAATTCCCTATACGTCAATGGTTGGATGTTTGGGATATGTTCAGACTTGTACTCGTCCCAAAATTAGTTTTGCTATTGGAATGTTGGGATGATATCAATGTTATCCCATAATGGACCATTGGAAAGCTGCAAAGAAAGTTTTGAGGTACTTGTAAGGCACCAAAGATCACATGCTTACATTTAAGAGATCCGATCAACCTGAGGTGATTGAGTATTCAGATTGCGGATCCGCTTGTTGCTAAGTTGTTGAAAGTTTTATTCCGCAACGGTCTTCTCCATGAAGAATGATAGGTACACTAAAGGTGCTAAAGGCGTAGATTTGTGGTATTTGTCAGTAAAGAAAGAAATTCAGAAACATAGAGTGTTTATTGAGCATATTGGCACTAAACGAATGATTGTGGATCTGCTGGTTAACACCCAATGTATTAAGAATCATGTAATTACTATGGGTGTTGTTGATAAAGCCTTGTTGACCAAGATTTATGTTTGGTCAATTATTGTTTTAGACACTCATTTGAATTCAATAAAGGTTATGTTTCTGGTTTACTTGTTATCTATTTGATTGTGATCACATATAATTATTTGTAGTGATCTGATAACAAGTGTTGAGGATTTAAGCATCCCTCAAATTTAAGATTTGAGACTTTCAGATTTCTTAAATGATAAAGATGAATTAAGAATTGTCTTGTGATACATGGAAGGGAGCATGTCAGTATAAATGGTGTGTAACCGTCATGATCCATTCAATTTAAAATTCAATTAAGTTGTTCTTGGTGAGTTTGTTTTGATGAATATTGCGCAATTTAAGTTTTCATCAATTCATCAAGGATCACATGACCAAGTGGGAGAATGTTAGAATATTTTGTTAATTAATTAATATTCTAATATTGGTCATGTAATTGGAGTCATATATTATTAATAAAGTTCGTATAGTCCTAGACCTTTAATTGGTTTAATGATAGGCTAAACTTGTGTCTGAGTCTGTCTAGGACTAGAGTTCCCCAACCCTCTCCTCTACCTCTATATATACGCTTATTCTTTATGCAATAACAACACAATATAAGTGAGAGACATCTACCTGTCAAGAATCTCATAAGCAAAGAGACCAGAGGGGATAAGAGATTTATTCCAGTTCATTCATCTATCATGGATCCAGGTATTCCTAAACTTCAGGTCTATCAATATACGATTATGTATAATTATATGATGCCGATCCTGGAATTTAATCTAACAACTATCACACATAAATCTTTACCATAAATCATCTCTTAGTCAAAGTTTCACTTTCCTGTTTTATTACATATTTTATACTCAATTACGATTATTTTTCTGCATTTTATCTTCTCTTTTATAATTTTTACACTTCTCTCCTATTTGTTCTACATTATTGATTACTCTTACGTAGTATTACTTTCCTCCTTAAATAATGTGCCTGAATCATACGAAGTATGAATCAATCTTTAAAATACGCTAGAAGTAATATTTTTAGCAAAAGAAATTTTCATATCATTTTTATAGTTTAAGTATTTTTTTTACAAAAATTTACTTTTAATCAAAGTTTAACATTGAATGAAAAAATAAAAAATGACTACATAAAAAGGGACACTAATCTTTCAATAAAAAGGGACACTATTACACAATACAAGTAATTTCTACCCTAAAGCATCTATAGAGAGGGATCACTCGAAGTGTCACTAATCAATCTTTTGACTTACGCTTAGCAAAGTGCTTACGTTTGCCCATTGACATTCCACCTCAGCGCTTACGTCGTACGCTCAACGACATCTCTATATATAACCGATCCACAACCAATGCCTCTAGTAACCCATTCTATTTCATTCTCGATTTTGATACAGTTATACACTTCTTCTTCTTTGTTTTACCTCTGAGGATTTCTTATCACTTCAGAAATGGCAGCAAACTCAAATGAAACAGAGCTCTCAGTGAAGGCCTTTGGATGGGCAGCGAGGGATACCTCCGGTCATCTTTCTCCTTTCAACTTTTCCAGAAGGTATATTTATATGAACAACAATATTTATATTCTGTAAAATGAAGTGGCTGAACTTGCTTTTATATGTTGGGGTATTGAAATGTGAGTAGGGAAACAGGGGAGAAGGATGTGCAATTTAAGGTGACATATTGTGGAATTTGCCATTCAGATCTTCACCAGCTCAAAAATGAATGGGGTTCCAGTTCTTATCCTCTTGTTCCTGGGTAAAATCGATTTTCAATCTCAGATTATCACCCCCTTTCTTAACTTCTTCAAACGAACAATGAAAACAGGACATTTTTAGTTACTTAAACTAAACCGCTTATGGATTGGGTGCAGGCATGAGATCGTTGGGGTGGTGACACAGGTAGGGAGCAAAGTCCATAATTTTAAGGTCGGCGACAAAGTGGGTGTGGGATGTTTTGTCGATTCCTGTCGCAAGTGCGAACTCTGTGAAAGTGGCTTAGAAAATTACTGCCCTGGAGGCGTCCTAACCTACAATGCTGCCGGGATCACCACATACGGTGGTTACTCGGACATCATGGTTGCCGACGAGCACTTTGTTCTCCGGTGGCCGGAAAATTTGCCAATGGAGGCGGCTCCTCTGCTCTGCGCCGGGATCACAACGTATAGCCCTTTGAGATACTTCGGACTCGACAAGCCGGGAATGCACATTGGGGTTGTCGGCCTAGGCGGTCTCGGCCATATGGCTGTGAAGTATGCTAAGGCTTTTGGATGCAAGGTGACAGTGATCAGCACATCTGCTAGCAAAAAGCAGGAGGCCATTGATCGTTTTCGCGCCGACTCCTTCTTGATCAGCAGCAACCCAGAAGAAATGCAGGTTTGCAAATTCAAATATATCTTGCTAGCTTCATCAATCCTGCCAGACTGCCATTATTAACATCTGTGATTAATCTTCTTCATCTGTATTCTGCAAGTAATCTGTTTATTATTAACTTTATGCATAGGCTGCGGCAAACACATTAGATGGCATTATAGACACGGTTTCTGCAGTTCACCCTCTTGTGCCACTACTCTCTTTATTGAAAGTAAATGGAAAGCTTGTCTTGGTTGGAGCTCCGGAAAAACCACTTGAATTGCCTGCCTTTTCTTTGATCCCGGGTATGTATATATAGATATCCTTATAAAGTTTACTAAAGTAGGAATTTTTCTAAATATTTGAAGCCCCATATACCAATCTTAATAGTACAGATTAGAGGTAATATTATACTACTTCCATCCCATTGGTTGTCCTTTTTCAATTTGGCACGATTATTAATAAGGTGGTTGAAAAGTAAAATTGTGGTTGAGATTTGAGTAGAATAAAGTGAAATGATAAAGATCACATATTTCTTGCTAAAAAGGGAAACATGACATTTACTATGGTACAACCCAAAAAGCAAAGTAGGGCAACCAAAATGGAACAGCGGGAGTAATTATTATAATTAACAAATGGAGTTGTCATTGGATTGATTATTAATATTATACTTTTATCTAATGGGTCGATCACATACAGGTAGGAAACTGGTTGCCGGAAGTGGTGTTGGTGGAATGAAAGAGACCCAAGAGATGCTGGACTTTTCTGCCGAGAATAACATAACACCAGATGTGGAGATTATTTCCATGGATTATGTGAACACTGCAATCGAACGCCTCTCCAATAATCAAGTGAAATATAGATTTGTACTAGACGTTGCCAACACAATCAAATCTGCTTGAGTATCTTCGTATTAAGCGGCATGTCTTGGCCTGGATGATCTATTTGCTTTGTATTTTTCTTAAGTTCAATGCTTTTATGAGACAGTGTTATGTTTGTTTGTCTTAATATTCAGATTACTAGATATAATTTGAGCTATGTTGCTTCTCCTCCTATTTATTTTTGGCATTTAATAATTGTTATGACACACCGGATGGAATCGGTATAAATATAACTCTTTTTCTTCTAAAATGAACTTCATTGTTTCTCATTTTGTTCATTCCAATATAAATTTCATTTTTCTGTTATATGGTTCACAATACAATCTTTCTCCTCTACACAACTTCTAGCCACCGAATATTCACTTTGTGAACTCTAGTGCCAAGTCAAAACCATAGTTATTTATGGACGGAGGAAGTATATCTTTGTATAAGATTTGGGCTTCTCTTCATTGATTTTCACAATTCGAATTTGATTTGATTCTTTGGTTATCATCTATGATTTATGATTCTTGTTTTAATGTTTATTACACTCATTTACACATCTTTATGGTACAAACTGAAATGTTCCATGTGACACTGATGATTGACCTTATTAGACCGATATGGTGACATATATTTATAGTAGATGAAGTTTCCTAATACCTAGTACAAGAGAGTCCCTAATAGAAAGTTCCTAATTAATTAGAGTTAATGTACACTATGAGCACCTTCCTCTTTTAGAAGTGGGTTCTTTGAAAGTACTCCGAGTAGAGTTGTTAGGAAAAGATGATCTCTTATTGTCTTATGTACTTTCATGTTAGGCAAGTCATTATTCTGCTCTTTCATGCCATTTGTGTTCCTGATGGTTGGCCTTTAGGTTCTTCGATAACACTTTTCTAGTTTGATTGCTCAGTTTGTTTTTGGGCGTACGTAGTAGCCACCTTTATTAGGCTGCAGAATATAGGAATATGCACATGTATACATTTAGCAACTGTGGATAAAGTTTTCTCATTCCTCACCATTATCAAAGAGGTGGGTAACACATGAAGTCTAAATCTACATCAATACAATCATCTTCATCACATTTATATATGGAAATTGCCTTAAATAGGAGTAAAAACGTTTTGAAATTCCAAAAATAGGAGTATCATATTTTTTATTCCCTGAATAAGAGTAATCTGTCAAGTTTGAGAAAAAATGTCATGTTAAAAGCTTTGTGATGCCAAACTTGGCAGAAATTTACTCTTATATAGGGAATAAAAAACATGATACTCCTATTTTAAAATTTCAAAACATTTTTACTCCTATTTAGGGAATTCTCTCATTTATATATTAGGCAGTCATGTTTTGGGAAACATAACAAAAGTCCTTCCATGATGAATAGTGTGTTTAACTTTGTCAAACGTCTTGGAAACATATAATATCATCTATAAAAAGTAAGGATACACAAGTTTTGGGAATAAATTGTACACATTCATCAATACTTTTTAAATAAATTAGGGTCAAATAGGTCCATGTATATGTCGTGTCGGCTCAATTCAGTCGCAGAACTAAAAAAAAGGTCTTATTCACACCTTGAATCGGAAACAAATGGTTCAAATTTTATTTTTTACGGGACACTACCCCCGGTCACCCGTCAGTTGCCAACTTTGCGTTTGACTTCGAAACTCAAAGTTCAAATAAGTTGTTGAACATGTTCAAATAGTTCAAGTAACCCCTTCAACTTTAATAAAGGTTTAACATTGAGATAAATTCAAAATAAATTGAAAAACTAAATATAAAATATAAGATAGTGTATAAATATATATGGGACAAATATTTATATAAATGAAAATATACTACTACGTATATGTATATTTTTTACATTAATAGTTTACTCTTAAATTTTTATTTTAGTCCTTCCATTTCCTACACCAAATTTTATGTTTGATTTTTAATTTTATTTATATGTTATATTTGGTAATTTTTGTATGTATTATACTTCCTTCGTTCGTTTTTAGTTGTGACACTTTTACTTTCACGTTTGTCAATGCACAACTTTGACCATTAATGCATTTAATTCGCTATTACTAATAATGTAAAAACCTGATTTTAAAACTTTAACATGAGACAAATTTAACAATATTTTTCAAAAAATGAAATTCCTGAGAGTTTAATAAATTAAATGTAGTCAAAGTAGAGCAAGTGAGTAGTGTAAACTTACATGGTTTTTACCAAAATATTATGATTACTAAAATAAAACTTATTTACACAAACATGACTAATAGTTACTAGAATATAGTGCCATAGTAACTTAAGTTCAAAAATTGAACCTAAATTACTACGATTTCATTACTACTCTAGTCACTACTCACGTTTTTGTAAACCATTAAGATTAAACTATTAATGTAAAGAATATACATAATATATAGTACATTTTCATCTTTATTATATTTTAATATTCATATTTTGAATTAACCAAAAAATATAAATATTTTTACCAAAAATATATATACTTTATCGTATTATTTTATATTTAATTTTTCAATTTATTTTGAAATAATCTCAATGTTGAACCTTTTGTTAAATTGAGAGGATTAATTGAACTATTCAAACATGTTCAGGGACTTATTTGAGCATTTAGTTTCGAACTCAAATGCATAGTTGGCAACTTGTCTGGTGATGTGGCGGGTGACCGGAGGGTGACCCGTAAAAAATTAAATAAGAACCATTTGTTTCTAGTTGTTGAGGGTGTGAATTGAACTTTTTTTTAGTTCAGAGACTGAATTGAGCCAACTCGACAGGTACAAGGACCTATTTGACCCTTTAGCCAATACTGTATGCATTCTTTAACCTCATCAATATTTATCGAAATAAAAAAATGATTTTTGAATTACAGTTTATATCTACCAAAGGTGTTCTAAAGCCACAAGGAGTTTTTTAAATATTACAAATACAATATTATGTATGAGATCATTTATTTTTAGAATAATATTATGTTGTTAATTCATATAGATGGTGCATATTATATTCGTATTAGTGCTAATATATATATATATATATATATATATATATATATATATACTACCTCCGGAAAAATAAACTACCTCCGTCCTCACAAGAAGTTTAATTTCCACTTTGATTTAATGGATGTCTTAAAAAGAAGATCTAAAATGTAAAAGGAAATTCACTACAAGAAATTAGATGTTTTCCCCACACATGAAATAGCCACACATAAGATGTGTGGTTACTTAGCCACACATAATTTGATTTATGTGTGGGTAATAAGCTTATATTTAGTATGCTGACCGTGGACTGATAATTGTTATAAGTAGTATGAGGGCATGAACTTATATTTAGTATGCTGACCGTGGACTGATAATTGTTATAAGTAGTGTGCGGACTTGATTTTTGTAATGTGATTATCTATTGTTATAGGAAAAAGCTCTTACGAATGCTGAATCACGCAAAAAGAGAAAATACAATTCTAGGAATGGTTCTAAAAGTACAGCTCGTCATCACGTTAGTCGTGGAGTTGATCTAGATGCCCCAGTTGGACATATCGAGACATGGCGCCTCCGTCATTGGCATCCAGAGCGTGGTTGGATATCTCCAGAAGCAGAATCTAAATACGTAAGTAAAATTTATCTCAAATATGTTATTAGCCCATCGGGCATGTTGTGGAAACATTTTAATTAAATACTATTGCTTTAAAAACCTAACAGGAAGAAATGATGCAACTGAGAAGAGACAACCCACCCGAGAAATTGACTGATAAGCAAATATTAGAAAATGTGCTTGGACGACAATCTGTTCGGTTGTTTGGTTGGGGACGGTCTCCCTCTGGATCTAAAAGAAGTAAAAATGACTCAAACCTTCCTACATATAGTGAGTTGGTTGGCACAGTTGAAATGATGAGGAAATTGTTGATTGAGAAGAACATCATTCCTCCCATGCCACAAATTGCATCAGATCATTGTTCGGGAGCACACAATCGCGACTCATCATCTGTTGGCCGAGATCAGCCTATTGATGGCTATGTTGACTCTACTTCTGAATTTGATGATGTCGCGTAGAAATAGCATTGAGATCAGAACACGTAATACATTATTTATTGAAGTGCATGACACTGATTACTATGTGTTGGCGTAAAAACTTGTTTTCCTTTATTTGGTGTTGTTATTGAAGACTAAATTCTCATGGAGGATACTTATTATTATTAGTATTATGCATTGTCAATCTACCGACATAATTTTGATTTTGAACGAGCTTGTTTTCAATTTGTATTATATTGATGCGTTCTGTTATTATTATATAGGTCTATTTCATTAAAAAATAAACGTTAATTAAATCAAAAGAATAGTCGTACCGACCCATAATTATCAGTAGATACACATAGACAAAACTTTTACCCACACTTACGTTTCGTTTTACCTACACCTATATATATATATATATATATATATATATATATATATATATATATATATATATTCACGTTTATTTGAATCATTTAGCTACACATTTCTCATCTTTAGCTACACATAAAATGTGTCCACGTGGCTGTATGTTTTTTTTTAAATAACATCATTTTCCACGTGTGCCACGTAATCACTAAATTGCCACGTCATGTGCCATGTCACGTGCCACGTCAGACGCCATGTCATCAAGACGGTGTGTACATGACAAACAGCAACACACGATATAGTATTTTACCTACACATACATGTGTAGGTAAAAATAAACAATATTACCCACACATACATTTATGTGTGGGTAAAAACATTTAACTACAGTTGAATACCCACACATGTCTACACTTAATTTATGTGTAAGTAAAAATGATTACCTACACATACCTATACTTTTACCTACATATATATGTATGGGTAAAACTCCAATTTTCTTGTAGTGAAACCATTTTAACCAAAAAGTCACAACTATTCCTACTTCTTACACATCTTTTCCTTGATTTGACATAAAATAAGGGTAAACTTGAAAAGTCAAAATAATACTCTATCTTACTTAAATACCAAAAAATATAAATACTTTTACCAAAAATATATATACTTTATCGTATTATTTTATATTTAATTTTTCAATTTATTTTGAAATAATCTCAATGTTGAACCTTTTGTTAAATTGAGAGGATTAATTGAACTATTCAAACATGTTCAAGGACTTATGTGAGCTTTCAGTTTCGAACTCAAATGCATAGTTGGCAACTTGTCTGGTGATGTGGCGGGTGACCAGAGGGTGACCCGTAAAAAATTAAATAAGAACCATTTGTTTCTAGTTCAGGGTGTGAATTGAACTT